TTTTTTTTATCACCGTCTTCATTAAGCCGCATTTTCTTTATGGGAGGAAAACGCTTCTGTTCTTACCTGCTTTCATGTATAATTTATTAATAAACTGTATACCGAATTTGGCCTTTTTATACCACTATCTTAGTCCATTAATTAAGCATTTTCTTTCTATGAGGGATACTCTTAAAGTGCAATTCAATTTACCGGGTTACGTTCATATTCTGGGCTATTCTGCTTGTCTGTATGCTTTATTAATAAGGTATGTACTGAATTTAGTCATCCAGTGGTTTACATTAAGCGTTTTAGAATGTCCCAAAACCGTGCCTTGATAAGCATGCACTGACTATTTCGTCCAAGTTCAAAACAAAACTCTATGAACTGCTCCATTGTGAACGTATGGAGCTGTATGAACCACTACAATCTGTAAAGTAAACAGGAAGTGTTTGTCCGAACTCAACTGGTTTTGCGAGGGAACGCAAAAAATCTGACAAATAATTTTTCCTCCCACCCCAAATTTTTTCACTCAATCTGATTTTTTTCCACCACCATGTCCCTTTAGGGGCTCTGTATAAATCAACCAAATTGAAAAACAAATTATCCAAATGTACACAGTCTATATATCTAACATTACTTGTGAGCAGAAAAAAATAAACTGTCAACTTAATGCAAAGTAATGATATTTAGCACAAAGTACATATTTACTTAGAGATTATATTTAGAACACTGACAATAAAGATCAGTTATCTAAATTTGAAAACAACACCTTATTTTATGCCTTGCAAGGGGGATGGAAGTGTTTTAAAACCTCTTGTATATAGACTTGCCATGTAAAAATAATTCTGGCATGTCATATAACTCTATATATCCATAACGTCTTTCCCTTTCATTAGACAAAGAAAGAGATAGAGGAACAGGGCTTTTGGAAATTCCCAACCAAGCACAATGAAGAGGGTTTCTACACTCTTAGCATGGACTTTCTGAAGGAAGCGGAGAACCACTGCATACTCCAGAGCCCCATCCCTGTTTCCTGCCCCGTTCGTCTGGTTCACGGGTTCAAGGACTCTGACGTTCCCTGGCACGTCTCCATGCAGGTCGCAGAGCGAGTACTCAGCAATGACGTAGATGTCATTCTACGCAAACATGGGCAACATCGCATGTCAGATAAAGATGATATTAAGCTCATGGTGTACACTATTGATGACCTTATCGATAAATTGACCACATTGGGGTGAGAACGGGTGTAAGGACAGTATGAAAGATGGACTAGTTTGGATGGGGAAAGCAGTGTGTACAGGTATCAGGTTTGGAGGTTAGGCTTTTAATTAAAGTGAAAGAAGCCAAATTAATTGAATGAGAATCACCAAAAAAAATCGAATTTCTTTCCAGAGCCATATGACTGACTTCCATGGAACACCATACAATGACCAGGTGCTGGCATGCTCAAAAACATCATTCTGACTTGTGTGCTATATTCCTTCTATAGTGACCTGAAGCCGTACGATAGCTTTGTAAAAGGGACAGGCCAAAATCTAAAAGAATAGTTCATCCAAAAATTTTAAATCGCTGAGAATTTACTCACCTTCAGGACAGCCAAAATGTACAAGTGATTGCTTCTTCATCTGAACAGTTTTGGAGAATTGTAGTATTACATCACTTGCTCACCAATGGATCCTCTGCAGTGAATGGGTGCCGTCAGAATGAGAGTCCAAACAGCTGATAAAAACACAATAATTCACAAGTAACACAAGTAATCCACACCACTCCAGTTCATCAATTAACATCTTGTGAAGCAAAAAGCTGTTAAAATAAGAGGTTTTTTATCCTTAATATTGCTTTCTTAAGTAAAAAAAAAAAGAAAAAAGTAGTAAATATGCACAGATCAAGCACCGTTTTCCACTGAAAATAGTTCAAAACATGTCTCAATAAATATCCGTGGATTTTGATATGAAAGGACAACAGGGGATGGACTTTTTCACTTGGACTTTTGGACTTGTATTTTGGCATGAAGCAATGGTTAAAGTTGAAATGCCTTTATGATGGTTATATTTATTTATTTTGGCTTCACAAGATGTTAACTGATGGACTGGAGTCATTGTGATGTGATTATTGTGATGTTTTGCTCAGCTGTTTGGGCTCTCGTTTTGACGTCACCCATTCACTGCAGACACATTTTTCCTAATCTGTTCTGATGAAGAAGCAAACTCATCTATATCTTGGATATAAATATAACTTGGAAGTAAATATTCAGCAAATGTTAGTATTTTGGTGAACTATTCATTTGAATTGTGATTCGCTGAAAATCTTGCCCTCTGCAGTAGCTCTCAAAATATAACGAAATGCATTGTGCCAAGTTTGAATATCATTCATTAGCATTACTGAGATTTAAGAGCTATAACAAGGCAAGAATTTCAGTGATTAATTGCTTCAGTAACACTTTACAATAAGGTTTCATTTGTTAACATTATTCAATGCATTATCTAACTATGAGCAATATATTTTTTTACAGAATTTATTAACCTTGGTTAATTTTAAAATAATATAGATTAATAATTGTAGAAGTATTGTTTATTATTCATGTCAACTAATGAAACTTTATTGCAAAGTGTTTCCATCAGTTCAATTTGATCACAAACCAAAATGCTAAACCATTGTAACCATAGTAATGAGAACTCCACATCCAACTTGCCTTGTTTTTTTACTATTGTTTCCTGTTACATTTTAATGTGATCATAATTTCAATGCTGTGTCACGTAGGGCCTTTTTAAATTTTATTTTTTAAAGATTTCCATCTTTGAGTTGGTTAAGGTTTGGCTGTTCTGAAGTGCTCAGAGGACAGTAGCTGTTGTTTTTCAGTGTCTTTGTCTTGCATTTTATGAAAGCATGTCTTGTTTATCACTACCAGAGGGATACACTTCTGAAGAACATAGTTAGAAAGCTCTATATGCTAATGCCAACATGCAGATTTTATTGTGAGCTGCTTAATCAGACCAAGATTATGAGCAATCTTGGACAAAGAAAATGTTTTATAGATTTTACCATAGAAGGAAGGTAGACCAAAATAAGGCCAAGATGGGACACGTCACTTGATGTATTTCTGTCTTTTATTTGGATCTCTCTTTATTTGAAAGAAAAATCACTACGGGCATTTTTACATGCAAGAATGGAGTGGCTAGAAAATGCTGTTAATATAAGTAGGGATTTGGCTAATGGGACAGAGAATATTTAAGCATTTTGAATCACTTTGTGCACAAATTATGAAAAATATACAGGTAGAAAACTTTTGTGCCACTTACTACAAGATATCAGGTTGACTTGGTGAACCACAGAGTATTGTTATATAAAGCCATTTATGTGGAATGGGTGTGGAATGCTAGGGGCTTGATTTAACTGGTAATTCACTGTGTTGTTGTTGTTGTTGTTGTTGTATTCTTCCTTTGACTTCTTTGTTTCAGCACCTGGTTTTTCTTCATGCACTAGTGCAAGGATGCAGCCAGAACAATAACAGATGTCAGTGTCAACCTTTCAAGAATCTTTTTTTTTTTTTTTTGGCCAACTGTAATTTATGTGCTAGTCTGATGGTGATTCTTCATGGTTACAAAAGTTGTGTGTTCTTTTTACTTTTCATTTTTGGGATTTTTGGAGCACAAATATTCCCAGAGTTTGATTACCACAAGTATTATCACTTTTCTCTTTGTCAGCATTAAATGCTTTTTTTTAATTTTTTTTTATCTCATTCATTTGTAGGCCTTCCCAATTTCTGTTAGCTCATTTTAAACATTTCAAAATGTTGTAAAATGTATCACGTCATGTTTTCAAATATGTATAAATCTGTCATGTATAAAAATAAAGTTTTTTATTATTAAACTGGATAGTAAAAGACTGCAGCTTTTCTGTGGCATTTGATTTTCTATTTTGAGTTTGCAACTGCACAGTGTTTATTTAAAAGCTTCTATAAGCATATGGCAGATATGAAAAAAAGCAACCTGCTAACCATGTTTCTTGGGAGTATTTTATCTACCAGTTAGATGTTTGGAATAATTACGATTCTATTTTAGTATATTTATATTAAAATGTCATTTATTACTGTGATACAAAACTGAATTTTCAGCACCATTACTCCAGTCTTTAGTGTCACATGATCCTACAGTAATCATTCTAATATGCTTATTGATGCTCAAGAAACATTTCTGATTATCAATGTTACATTTTTATTTTATTTTATTGAAACCATGGTACACTACCATTCAAAAGTCTGGGGGAAGATTTTTTAAAAAGATAAATTAATACTTTTTATTCAGCAAGTGCACATTAAATTATTAAATTAAACAGTATAAACATTTATAATGTTACAAAAGATTTCTATTCCAAATAAATTCTTTCCATCACAGGAATAAATTACATTTATTAAGTTATTATAAAGTTATTTTAAATTGTAACAATATTTTACAATATTACCGTTTTAAGAACATTTTAAAAACCTTAAATTGTTCCAAACCTTTGGCCTGTAGTGTATATTTGTGCTAAACTGATATATTTCCTTTAAGAAATGTGAATGTTGATGCTGTTCTGGTTGAATAGTTAATATCCGTGGTCACATTTCCCACACAGAGTTGTGTATTCAGATCTGTTCTGAAAGAGTGCTCTATTCGCTCTCACACCACAGCTCCAAATTCTACTCACTGCCTCTGGTAATCATTCGCAGACTTCAGCCTCCCACAGCACAGGTAAAACTCTGAACACTGCAATACTTCAAAACTACAGTCTCAGCAAATCTTTTGGAGAAAATGATAGCATAGGTCAATTCAGGTTGCTTTTATGCAAATTGTGACTTTATTGCTGTCGGCACATAATGAATCTAGTCTTTTTTTTTTTCTTTTTTTTTCACCATTTTCGTTTGTGTGCCTTTTTATTTTATTTTTTTATTTTTTTGCATGAACTTGTGACTTGCAGTAGTTGTGGTCAGTGTAATGTTGGTTACTTAAGTATGTTCTTGCGAGCCAGCTCTCCAAAATAATTTTAAATGTGCATATTTGAATGTTTACATTTGTTTGAACTTTAGTGATATGACTAATAATAATATTCTTATGATTTCAGTTAGACAGTGCTTTTTCATGCACAGGGTTTCTTAAAAAGGGTCTTAAAAAGTCTTACATTTAGTTCAGAGTCCGGTGCATCGCTGCTTTGTGTTCTGCCGTTACCGGGAAAACCGTTATATTTCTACCAAAGGCTCTACCTGCTGGCAGAGAATGAATGAGCATTTTCAATAAAACTGTTGTTTTGTTCAGAGTTCAGACCAATGCAAAAATCGACCCATGTTTTTACCCTGCAAACATTTAAACATTTTGCAAGCTTTAAAATGTGAACTGGTGGATCGATAAGAAGACAATACATTATAAAAATCTAAACATAGGGGTGTGCGATATGTATGGTCTGCAATAATATCGTAATTGTTGTTTTAACGATGTGCAATTTGATATTATGAGTATATCGCGAAAAGCAAACACAAAACACAACTACAGAGTGCACGCATACATTAGGTGATGCAGTCTAGTAGGTTAGACTAGTGCGCGTGCGCATTTAGAGTGCATTCTTTCACTGCATGAATCGGTCTATTAAAATGCATTTAGAATTATCACATAATTTAAGATATGGGGCAGAAAATGTATATATTTATAGTTTAAACTAGTGCGCGTGCGCATTTAGAGTGCGTTCTTTCACTGCATGAATCAGTCTATTAAAATGCATTAGAATTATCACATAATTCAAGATATGGGGCAGAAAATTTATATATTTATATAATTTCATTTAGTTATCATCACACGAAGAGTGACTTTTTTTTCTCCTGAAGTCAGCATGATTACAAATGTGATACAACAGTTCAAATAAACAAGTTAATATTAAGAGACTTACGTTTTAGACACCATATTTTCTGTTTTTGCTCTATTTCTCCAACAAAAATAATTTCAAACACAGCCACAACGCTGTTTTGCGTCTCTGAGCAACAGGACTCTGTTTTGTTCCTGAATGAATCAACCGTGTAAATTATTTGGTTCAATCGCAATGACTCACTTATTAACAGTGACTTGCTCCTTCTAATGGAGCTTCTGTGTTTCCTCTGCATTGCAAAGATCAATTACTGATTTAATTTGCTTGGTAACAACCCAAATGCAAGAATTTGACTCAAAAGATGGTGCGCACTTTTAGAAAAAATGTCTAATTATCGTTATTGATAAAATCCCAGAAAAATATCGAGATATCATTTTTTGTCAGTATCGCACACCCCTAATTTATGTTATTTAATTGATATAATAATTTATTGATAATAATTGTTAAAAATTAATATAATATTTTATAAAACTTTGTTTTTGTGAAAAGTTGTATCTGAACTTTAAATTATGCTTTTTACAGTAATAATTTTACAGTTTAATATGGTACTATAGACATTGCCCTACCCCGCTCATATGGTATTAATTTTATTTGTGCAGGTCTTAAAAAAGGTCTTAAAAAGTCTTACATTTGAGCTTAAAAATCCTGCAGAAACCCTGCATACAGTGTAGATCACCATTTTAAAATGTGTATTGATAATGTATATGGATTTTATTTATGTAGAGACCACAGAGGCATTTTCCTTGCTTGTGCAAAAATTAAAAGCATGAGGCATATAGTGATTCTGATGACTCTCATAAGTGGTGAGTAAATCAATGCAATTTAATTTTGCCTGAATACAGCAAAGAACTTTTGAAAGAACTCATCATTGTGTGCATGTAAATGAGAATTGCATTTGACTCATTTTGTTAACGAATTAATAATCAAGTTTTCTCATAGGTGCGTTCGCCGCTCCATTTGTGAAGGGGGAGCAGGCCAAGAAATTTTTACGTCTAAAGAGGCAGTCTGGCTACTGGGACCCCAATTATGCCCAGAACCAATGGGGTTACACCTTACAGGAGCAGGTGAACACTAGCAACACTAGCCTCAGACTGAACGTGTTTGGTAAAAGCTACTTGCATTGATCAGCTGATTATAGTGACTGTATGATGTGATTAGTGAAATGTATGAGTGAAATGGACCTAAAATCATATTTGAAATCTCTAAAAGCTATAGCACTATTTGCATTAATTAAAAGAACCCTCAAGGTTTTTCTGTGGCCTGGTAAAAAGGTTCTATTTGTTCTCTTTAGAGGTTCTAAACATGAAATATCATTTTCTGGATTTAGACTAATCCTGGATGTTTGAATTAAGATGTTGATTTATACAGTTGTTATTTAATTAGCCTACTTAAAGAAACAGTTCATCAATAAAATGAAAATGTGTTGAAAATTCACTCACCCGCAGGCCATTCAAGATGTAGATGTGTTTGTTTGTTCATTTGGAGAAATGTAGCATTACCTCACTTGCTCAGCAATGTGAATGGGTGCCGTCAGAATGACGTACAAACAGCTGATAAAAACAGAACAAAAATCCACAAGTAATTCTCACGGCTCCAGTCCATCAGTTAACATCTTGTGAAGTTAAAAAGCTATGTGTTTGTAGGAGAAACATCCATTGTTCATGCGTTTTATCTTTAAACCATCCCTTCTGGACAAAATATGAGTCCATAATCCATAATAAATTCCTCCAGTGAAAAAAATCCATCCCCTATTGTTCTCTTACATCAAAACCCACATGTTTGTATAAAACTGTGTTTGGATTGGTTTCGCTTGTAAGCAGTGCTTTATCTGTGAAAATGTCTCTCTTAATTCAGGTAAGACAACTTTTTCGACGGAGAAAACAATGTTATGCATGAAGGACTTGAATTTTAGCCAATTTGATTGGTTTGTAAAATGTCTTAATAATGCATTTATTTCTCACAAACAGCGTTTCGTGTTACAAGACATTAATTGTTGGACTGGAGTTGTGTGGATTACTTGTGTGATGTTTTTATCAGCTGTTTGGACTCTCATTCTGACGGCACCCATTCACTGCAGAGGATCCATCGGTGAGCAAGTGATGTGATGCTAAATTTCTCCAAAACTCTTCCCATGAAGTAACAAACTCTTGGATGTCTTGAGGGTGAGTACATTTTAATTTTTGAGTGAATTATTCCTTCAAGACATAATCAGTCTTACATTTTTAATAGCCTATCGTAAAATGAATGGAAAACAAATTAAAATATAGTGCAACACATAAAAAGAATGAATAAATTCACCTGTTGCTAATGACATTAGGCTAAATATGTAATTAGTATCGCAGCATCATGTTGTCTATGTGGCAGGCAAATGAATACTGGACTGATTTGAGAACAAATGCTCAGTATTACATGGACATGGGAAACCTGGTGTTTGACCGTTCTCTGGCTGAGTGAGTATCCTAAATAGTTTAAATTATGATATTGAGAGCAATTCAAAGGAATTAAATGTCTTCTTTCTCTCCATAGTGAGACCAATAGGCTCTACATGGACATGCTGAGGGATGTAAGAGCACAGCTGGATGCACACACAGGCAAACAGTGATTGATATGGACAAAAACGATTGACTGATTAAGTCAATGGCGATGGCTGAGGCAGCTTTGCTGATCTCAGGGTTGTGAGCAGAGCAGCAGCCAATGTTTAGCTGCCGAGTTCTCTCAGAGATTGCTTGCAGCAATGCTTTTCAGCGTAGTATAAAATGCTTATACAGAATAGAAGAGCACTTAAAAATAAAATGAAGGAATCATCAATGTATTAATTATTAAATATGTATCCGATAAAGAAAAGTGTTTGACAAATGCTTTGTGAAAAAAAGTCTTAATACAAAGTTTCATTAAAATTATTGTTCAATTCATTTTATTATTACTTTTTCATTTTTACTACAAATCAAACTAAATAAATCTATGTTTCTTATAGGCTATTTGAACATTTATTTATTTACATTTTTATTTTTTGTTGGTTTAATTTTTAAGTGCCACTTACAGCCTTCCATAGATGACACGACATGTCAATCATAGCAACTTATGTTAAACTATTTCGTATTGACTGACAATTAACTGTAAAAAAAAAAAAAAAATCTAAAAGGTTATTACAAATAAAATAAAAAAACGAATAGAAATTGATGTCAGCAACTAAAATACGCATTCCTTTCCTTTTTACATATAGTCTGTTTTCTTGATGCTGAAAAAGTTGATCCTATTATGTTTCATTTGCCAACTTCCTATTTATATGTTCAGTTGTATGTAGGCTATGACACACCGTATATTTGCAGTTATTTAACAATAAAGAATTGTGCATTTACACCTTTGTTGTATTTATCAAAATTGCTTTATAAATAGCCTATCACTAAAGATCAGCATTTGAGGAATGTAAAGATCGCAGCAATTCACAGGCGCGACCATATTATTGCATCATCCCCGACTGTATTATGATACCGTGTTCTTAATCATGGCCTGTTTTTCTATGTACGCGCACTGATGTTTTCATGCACACAATTCTGCTATTCTTCCGAACGGCTTTCAATGCCTTTTTGGCTAGACGCGCTTTACATACAGTGATGCGCTCAACCTTCAGTGTTACGTAACACTTACTGTAGAGCTCCATCGGCGTGATGCTCTGCTTGGGCTGTCTCCCCCCCCCCCCCCCCCCCCCCCCCCCCCCCCCCCCCCCCCCCCCCCCCCCCCCCCCCCCCCCCCCCCCCCCCCCC